CCATGCCAGGGTCCCTTCCCTCTTTAATATTATTGTTGATTAATTGTTGTCATTATTGTTGGGTTTAAGAATAAATATGAAATTTCTGATTAGTATATTTGTATTACATATCCTTTAATAAATTTTGCATTCTACACGGAAATTAATTCAGAAAACTCTTGGCTATACCGTCAGTCTCCAACATAGACAGGCTCAGCTTCATGTGTTCTTTTCAAGTTCATAATCATTGATTTTTGTCTCCAACCACTGTGATACTTGCATATTCCTGCCTTTAAACAGTAGATTTGAAACAAATACTAACACAGAGATTATAAAGGTGAAGAAAGTTACCTTAATTCTGTGATCTTATGTGACCATTTGAAGTTTTTATTTGCGTTAAAATTTTTTTGACTACTGAGACATTTGAAAGCTGCTAGAACAATCCTGAGGAAACAACCACATGGACTATATTGCAATTTGTGGAATGTAATATATAGTGGGATTTTTATGACTTTCTGCCAAACATAGCTTCATATTTATGGCTTTTCTTAACTATATGTATATATGTTTCTTTATGTGAAAAAAACTTTCAAAATTAAAATGAATAAAAAGGATTCTTTGATCATCGATGTGTAGATAGAGGTTGATAAATCTGGCCATATGGTCTAAGAATTGCAAAGAAGATCAATTTTGACAAAGTCATTAAGAAATGTGCAGAGCTTATTTCTTCTTCTCTCTCTCTTTTTAAATTGTACTTTAGATGAAGGTTTACAGAACAAACTAGTTTCTCATTAAATAATGAACGCACATATTGTTTTGTGACATTGGTTGTCAACTCCACAGCTTGTCAACACTCTCCCCTTCTCGACCTTGTGTTCCCCATTACCAGTTTTCCTGTCCCCTCCTGCCTTCTCATCCTTGGCCATGGGCTGATGTGCCCATTTAGTCTTGTTTTGTTTTATGGGCCTGTCTAATCTTTGGCTGAAAGGTGAACTTCAGGAGTGACTTCATTACTGAGCTAAAAGGGTGTCCAGGAGTCATACTCTTGGGGTTTCTCCATTCTTTGTCAGATCTGTAAGTCTGGTCTTTTTTTGTGAGTTAGAATTTTGTTCTACATTTTTTCCAGCCCTGTCCGGAACCATAGATTGTGATCCCTGTCAGAGCAGTTGGTGGTAGCCGGCCACCATCTAGTTCTGCTGGACTCAGTCTGGTGGAGGCTGTAGTAGTTGTGTTCTATTAGTCCTTTGGACTAATCTTTCTCTTGTATCTTTGGTTTTCTTCATTATCCCTTGTTCCAGATGGGGTGAGTCCAGTGGAGTACCTTAGATGGCCGCTTACAAGCTTTTAAGACCCCAGATGCTACTCACCAAAGTAGGATGTAGAACATTTTCTTTATAAACTATGTTATGCCTGTTGAGCTAGATGTTCCCCGAGACCATGGTTCCCATAGCCCTCAGCCCAGTAATACGGTCCCTCGGGGAGTTTGGATGTGTTTATTCAGCTTCCATGACCTTGCCTTGGTCAAGTTGTGCCGGCTTCCTCAGTATTGTGTACTGTCTTACCCTTCACCAAAGTTACCACTTATCTATTATCTAATTACAGTTTTTCCATCCCCACCCGTCCCATCCCTCGTAACCATCAAAGATAGTTTCTTTCTGTATGTTAACCTTTTCATGGGTTTTTATAGTAGTGGTCTCATACAATATTTGTCCTTTTGTGATTGACTTATTTTACTCAGCATAATGCCCCCCAGATTCATCCATGTTGTGAGATTGTTCGAAGATTCATCATTGTTCTTTATCAGTGCATAGCACTCCATTGTGTGTGTGTACCATAGTTCATCCATTCATCTGTTGATGGGCACCTAGGTTGTTTCCATCTTTTTGCTATTGTGAACAATGCTGTAATGAACATAGGTGTGCGTATGTCTATTGGTGTGACGGTTCTTATTTGTCTAGGATATACTCCTGGGGAGTGGGATTGCTCGATTGTATGACATTTCTATTTCTAGCTTTTTAAGGAAGCGCCATATCGTTTTCCAAAATGGTTGTACCATTTTGGACTCCCACCAGCAGTGCATAAGAGTTTCAATCTCCCCGCAGTCTCTCTAGCATTTGTTATTTTCTGTTTTTTTGATTTGTACCAGTGATGTTGGGATGAGCTGGTATCTCACTGTGGTTTTGATTTGCATTTCTCTAATAGCTAGTGATTGTGAACATTTCCTCATGTGTCTGTTAGCCACTTGAATGTCTTCTTTGGTGAATTGTCTGTTCATATCCTTTGCCCAAGAACTTATTTCTTGAAAATATAGATAGGCATTTGGCATAGGTAGTACATGTTGAGCTTCATTATTGTCTTGACTAATGTGTAGGTATAAGTTTTCCCCCCCACTTAAAAAGAAACCAGCATTAATGTAAGAAAAAAGCATTACTGAGTTACTTTTTTCTCTTTTGTATTGTAATGCTTATTTTTACTTTTTAATAGCATGATTGAAAGATTAATAAAAGATATAAAAGTTTCATAAAAGAAAATATTCATTGTTTCCTTTTGACCATTATTATCATAATTAATTTCATTTATGATTATTATGAAAATATCTTTGTCTTATAGAAACCAAAACCCAAACCAAATCAGTTGCTGTAAAGTAGATTCTAACTCGTGCAGGCCCCACATGTGCAGAATAGAACTGCACTTCACAGGGCTTTCAAGGCTGTGACTTTTAGGAAGCGATTGCCAAATCTTTCCTCTGAGGGACGTTTGGGTTCTGTCAAACCACCAATCTTTCAGTTAATAGTCATCTTAGTTATCTAGTGCTGCTATAACAGAAATACCACAAGTGGATGGTTTTAACAAACAGAAATTTATTCTGTTACAGTTTAGGAGGCTAGAAGTCTGAATTCAGGGTGCCAGTTCCAGGGGAGGGCTTTTTCTCTCTGTCGGCTCTGGGGCAAGGTCCTTGTCATCAATCTTCCCCTGGGTCTAGGAGTTTCTCAGCACAGGGACCCCAGGTCCAAAGGATACATTCTTCTGTTGGATCTTCTTTCTTGGTGGTATGAGTTCCTACTCCTCTCTGCTCACTTGTCTCTTTTATGTCGCAAGAGATTGACTCAAGATACAACTTAATCCTGTAGATTGTGTCCTGTCTCATTAACATTGCTGCCTCTAATCCTGCCTCATTAACATCATAGAGGTTAGAATTTACAGTACACAGGATAATCGCATCAGATCACAAAATGGTGGACAACCACACAATACTGGGAGTCATAGCCTAGCCAAGTTGATGTACATTTTGGGGGGGACACAATTCAATCCATAACAGTAGTTGAGCACTTAACCATTTGTGTCACCCAGGGACTCATAGCTTATCATATAGAAGAGTGTTATAAAAATTTCCAGGTGTCAAAAATGCTAAGTATGGCTTTCTTCCATCTAAATGTTTGAAGTATCTCTTAGGCAGAAGAAACCACAAGGAACAGTTTCTTTCTTCTCTGTGATTTGTTTGTTCTGTGTCCAAGGGCTCTCATTACTGATATTCAAGTGCTTTCTAATGCATAGGTTTTAAAACTGTTGCACAGAACAAAGTCTGGCTCTATTCTATCTGCAATTTACTTTTTCTATGTGATGGAGGGAAGAATCAACAAAAAAGATTTATATAGTGTAAGGTTTTCATATTAAAGTATGTGAATCGACAAGTTAAGGTGAAAAATGAGAGATCTTATTACAGACAAAATCTTTAACATTATAATCCAGAGTTACTTGACTAAACTTGTTGGACCCCACCTATTATTCCTAATCAAGGCAACTACTCCATTGTTTTATTTTGTATCTGTCATGGATTGAATTGTGTCCCCCCAAAATATCTGTCAACTTGGCTGGGTCATGATTCCCAGTATTGTATAGTTGTGTACCATTTTGTAATCTGATGTGATTTCCTTATGTGATGTAAATTCAGTCACTATGATCTAATAAGATGGATTAGCGGCAGTTATACTGATGAGGTATACAAGATTGGATAGTGTCTTAATCCAATCTCTTTTGAGATATAAAAAAGAAAAATGAGCAGAGACATATGGGAACTTCATGCCACCAAGAAAGCAGTGCCAGGAGCATAATGCATCCTTTAGACCTGAGATTCTGGCACAGAGAAGCTTCCAGACCAAGAAAAGACTGATGCATCACAAGGACCTTCCTCCAGAGCTGACAGAGAAAGAAAGCCTTCTCCTGGAGCTGATTCCCTGAATTTGGACTTGTAGCCTACTGGGCTGTGAGAGAATAAACTCTTTGTTAAAGCCATCCACTTGTGGTATTTCTGTTATAGCAGCACTAGATAACCAAGACAGTGTCTTACTATCCAATTACAAAGGGTCATTCAATAAAGGAAGAAAAATAACTCAAGCACATTCAAGGCTGGTGTGGAAAATATCTTTGTCTTTTTAACCAACACTTTGCAGTATGGCATACTTTTAGGTAGGAAGCCGGTTAAAACCACCCAGAACTTCTGAAAGAAAGAAAAATTTCATGAAGCAATTCTTTATATTTCATGGGAGATACATGTATTTCATATGAATGTACATTATTTATATAGAAAATGTTTCTAAAAATGCACAGTGAAAACATCAGGCTTCCCGATCTTTTCAAATCCATAGGTTGAGGTTCCAGTGAGTTTCATTTTGCTTCCTAGTTAGGAAATTATACACAAGTCATCACAAAGCCGAATTTTTTCAGGATTTACAAAATGAGAATAATACCTTGAATATAATTCATCTGATAAAGGGAACTGTCCATTTCAAGAGGAATACTGAGGAGGAATTTATCAAAAAAAACACAGGATTATTCCTCCTTAGGGAAGAATGAATTAACTAACACCATAACAATTAACCAAGAGTAAAATATCTGAAAAAGTCAGAAAAGGCACAGCTCTTGAAAAATGTGGGGGACAATCTCCCACAACTTGAACCTTAGTGGTTGAATTAAATGTAATAGTCTCACTTATAATGCCTATTATTAGGTCTTTAAGAAGTCTACTCCCTCTTTTTCTTCTTTCCTGTCTTCATAAACTTTTGATAACCAAACAAACAACACTTTATGACAAGAAAAGTAACAACTGCCACACAAGCCAGTAGAAACCCAATCACATCCAAAGAGTGGTACTGGTACCAGGTGAGGCTGAGGGTGGCTGGGCAAAGGTGTTTGGCTCCTTTGTGGCGCATGACAAACTCGATCCAGAAGACAGCTTTATCCAGCGGCTTAACAGGCCTATCATGATGAATGGCTGATAACCTCATAGCACTCTCTTTATAGCTGAAGAAAAATCAAATAGACATCAACTTAGAGAATAAACCAGAAAAGATAAATATGTGAAAGTTTCATGCAGATGGTAAAAATTAGTGCCACATAAGATTGGAAGAAAAATATATTATTTTCCTCTGAGATGATGATAGAGATTTTAGTTTAATGACTCGAATTTCTTGAATGCATAGGGTTTGACAGTGTAAAGAAAGATAGAAGTTAGGAGAGGACATGCATTTTTAGGATCGAGAATGGAATGATCCAAGTACTAAAGGCAAAAAAAACAAGGAAAAGAAAAGAAAAATATCATCATTTGAGTGTGTAGAGTTTCAATTATCCAGTAAGAAATTGTCAATGGACCTAGTGTACAAGGTTCAAAATAATACCATTATCCAGAAATAGGAGGCAGGTCCATGACGAGGTCCAGGAATGTGTCCATGCAAGGCTGGTCAGGAGTTGGTGTTGGCCAGGAATTGGTATTGACCTTATGTCAGTGATTTAGTAGTTCAAAATGTGAAAGTGGATTGTCTTGGTTTGAATCCTAATTCTGACACTTGCTGTCTGCTTTGGGGAAGTTATTTATTCTCTCTGTGCCTCAGCTGTCTCTTTGTTAAAATGGAATGGATGAGGATAGTGCCTCATTTATCTGATTATTGTGAGGAATGAGTGATTGAGTCTCAGAAAACTTAGAATCGTTCGTATCATGTAGTAGACGCTCAGTAAAGGTTTGCTATTATTGTTGTTGTTGTTCTTGTCAGTTTTGTTATTTTAGACTCCGAAGAGTGCTCAATATTTCACTTCAAGGCATTGCAGTTGTTCTTTTTTTTGTTGTTGAAAATGATTATGATTAGGGCGGGACCAAGATGGCGGAGTAGTCAGACACTTCCTGTGGTCCCTCTTACAACAAAGACCTGAAAAAACAAATGAATTGATTGTATATGACCATCTAGGAGCCCTGAACATCAAAGGCAAAGTTGAGGAATCAGATTGAGTGGCAGGGGGAGGAAGAGACAGTTTGGAAGCAGCGAGGAGTTACAAGACCTGACCCAGCAGGAGCCAGCGCCCTGCAGGCTGGATAGGCTCGTATGCATGGTGAGGCAAGCAATGGTGCTCGGGAGGAGTTTTCCACATCAGGAGAGGTCCAGTGGCAGAGAGACTACTTGGGCATCCAGAACCAGTGAAAAACAGACCTCAACTGGCTAAAGATAAATACTTGCATCTGGCCTATTGCATGGATCAAAAAACACCCTGTTTGGGAAAAACCTCTCTCCCATTTACCTACCCCCTCTCTGCTCTGCACTGCGTATCAGGCTGGCTTCAGTGACTGCCGATCCCCTGGGCCGGAAATAGGGCCCATTACACACCCTGAGCCATTTTCCAGGCCTTGGAGTGGGAACAAATTAACAAACAGGGAAAAAATAATCTGCCAGCTCCCCTAAGCCAGAAAATCAGGGTAGGCACAGCTCCTTTGTCTAGGCACAGGTATAAGGAGTCCACAGACTTTGAATGCCTTTCACCCCTGCATAGACTTGTGTGGGCCCATTTCAACAGTGTAGGCCCTCATTACCACAGTACAACAGGGTATATACCTGAAGTCTAATGTCAACTGTTTCAGCTGTGAAGTGGCAAGTTTGTGACATCTGACACTGCTCTGCCCATTAAGCAGATTCCTCACCTGCCCACATTGGGGGCTGAGGACTGGTGGCTCCACCCATGCCACCTAGCCACCATGACAGGGGTCCAAGAATAAGTGATGCCCTTCAGTCCTTACAGCCAACAGCATTGGGTGCTCATAGTCTGGCTGCAAAACCCACCCAACTACATGCTCTAGGGAACAGGGACACATTTTCCTCTCAGATACTCAGGGGCAGCCATCAGCTTCCTGCCTTGCTCAGCACATGATCCCCTACTGCAGCCAGATACCCCTGAGTACAACAGTCATCCATGCCTGTCTAGGACTGTAGGTGAGAGCCTGTACCACACACTTGGTGACCAACTACCTGGACATCTGAGCTGAATCCATACAAGAAAAGTAAATGGACTCTTAGGCTCACATACTTATTAACAGATCTAACCACCTGGTGACAGGACGTTAGAGTTTCAAAGGCACCAATAATCAAACTAGCTAGGCACCAATAATCAAACTAGCTTACACGAGCAGCCTGTTTGGGCATATTGAAAAAAACAAAAACAAAACAAACAAAAAAAAAAAAAACAAGAAGCTAGGACACAGTAAGCAAACAATAAATAAATAAATATGATAATTTATTTACATCTCGGAGACAACAGTCACTATCCAATCACATAAAAAGGCAGACCATGTTAGTTTCAGCAAGCTCCCAAAATAAAGAATCAATAAATTTTCCAGAGGAAGAGAATTTCTTGGAATTGCCGGAGGCAGAATGAAAAAGATTAATACATAGAACTCTTCAAGAGATCGGGAAGGAGATCATTCAAAATGCAGAAAAATCCAAGGAACATACAGACAAAGCAACAGAGGATCTTAAGAAGGTTATTCAAGAGCATAATGACAAATTTAATAGGCTGCAAGAATCCATAGAGAGACAGCAATCCAGAAGGCTAACAATAAATTTCAGAATTAGATAACTCAATAGAAAGTCATAGGAACAGAATTGAGGCAGTAGAAGTCAGAATTAGTAAGACTGAAGATAAAGCACTTGACACAACTTATTTGAGGAAAATCAGATAAAAGAATTAAAAAAAACAAAGAAACTCTAGAATTACGTGGGACTCTATCAAGAGAAATACTGTTCTGGAGTACCAAAACAGGGGGGATAACAGAAAATATAGAGAGAATTGTTGAAGATTTGTTGGCAGAAAACTACCCTGATATCAGGAAAGATGAGAAGATGTCTATCCAAGATGCTCATCGAATCCCACGTAAGGTAGATCCCAAAAGAAAGTCACCAAGACATATTATAATCAAACTTGCCAAAACCAAATATAAAGAAAGAATTTTAAGAGCAGCTAGGGATAAACGAAAAGTCATCTACAAAGGAGAGTCAATAAGAATAAACTCGGACTACTCAGCAGAAACCATGCAGGCAAGAAGGCACTGGGATGACATATATAAAGCCTTGAGGGAAAAAAACTGCCAACCAAGAATTATATATTCAGCAAAATTCTCTCAAATATGATGGCGAAATTAGGGCATTTCCAGATAAAAAGAAGTTTAGGGAATTTGCAAAAACCAAACCAAAATTACAAGAAATACTAAAGGGAGTCCTCCAGTTAGAAAATCAGTAACATCACATAACAACCCAAGACTAGATAACAGGACAGAGAAATCAGGTATCAACCCAGACAGGGAAGTCACAAAAATCAATCAAAGCTAAAAAACTGAAAATAGGGAAACAGAGATGTCAATATGTAAAAGGTGACAACACTAAAACAAAAAAGAGGGACTAAGAATGTAGACTTATATTTTTCATATGGAGAGGAAGTCAAGGCAATATAAAGAAATAAAAGACAGGTTTAAATGAAAAACAGGGGTAAATATTAGGGTAATCATAAAGGAAACTAACCATCCTACACATCAAAATAAAAAACAAGAAAAAATACTAAGACTCAGCAAATATGAAATCAACAACAAGAAAATGAAAATGATATACATAAAGAAAAATGACTCAGCACAGAAAATTAAGTGGAACAAAGAAACTGTCAACAACCCACAAAGAAGACATCAAAATGACAGCACTAAACTCACACCTATCAATAATTACGCTGAATGTAAATGGACTAAATGCAGCAATAAAGAAACAGACAGTGGCAGACTGGATTAAAAAATACGATCCATGTATATGCTGCCTACAAGAGATACACCTTAGACTTAAAGACACAAACAAACTAAAACTCAAAGGATGGGAAAATACATATCAAGCAAATAACACTCAAAAAACAGCAAGAGTGGCAATATTGATCTCTGACAAAATAGAGTTTAAAGTTAAATCCAGCACAAAGGATAAGGAAGGACA